TTTTTTTTTTTTTTTTTTTTTTTCTATTTGTAATAGAGGAACGCTGTGCTTAGAAGTATGTGTCTGAAAGTTGTGTGCTTTTTCTGTGTTCTTGGGATGCCTTGAACCATTTCCCAGCTGGGACCTGAAGTGTATAGGAATCTGCATGGTAGGACAAAAAGCAGACACCCCTGTTTGTAGGGAGTCTCGTGATGTTTGGTAGTGCTCCTTGGAGCCATACAGAAGCCCAAGGGTCTCAGCTCTTCTAACGTTTAAAAAAAGCAGAAAACACAGCAGCTACTGCTGTGGTCTTTTATCTAGGACAGTAAAGAGGAAAGTAAAGGAAGCATGATTATAAAACCAACTGAATATAGCTCATGTGGTCATCAATAAGCATCAGAAACTTTTGACTGCTTGCTTGACTCAGGATTTCTGAGTTTGCATGTGGAATACTATTAGCACCTTGTTCTATTGGATCTCCTCTCTGCTGTAATAATTTCATGGTCTTAGACTAATTTGCTAGTGATTTTTGCAAGTTTAGTATAAAATATGCATTGAATTCTATATTAAATATAGAAAAATGCTTGGACACTGTTATCACTTAATTTCTTATACTTTCTCAATCGCTTATACTGTTATCACTTAATTTCTGCTCTTGATATTTCTGATTAGCTGAGTAATTTGAATAAAAAATTATTTTAAAATTGGATTAGATACAATTGTTTACTCCTGTTACTATTCAAAGATTTCCTTATACTGAAAGGCAGCAAGGCTGGTGAAGGGTCTGGAACACAAGTTGTGTGAGGAGCAGCTGAGGGAGCTGGGGTTGTTTTAGCCTGGAGAGGAGGAGGCTCAGGGGTGGCCTCACCACTCTCTACAAGTGCCTGAAAGGAGGCTGTAGCCAGGTGGGGTTGATCTCTTCTCCCAGGCAACCACTTACATGACAAGAGGACACAGCCTTCAGCGTGCCAGGAGAGGTTTAGGTTACACATTAGGAGCAATTTCTCCACAGAAAGAGTGATTGGGCATTGGAATGGTCTGCCCATGGAGGTGATGGAGTCCCCATTCCTGGAGGTGTTTAAGAAAAGAGTGAACTCAGCGCCATGGTCTAGCTGACATGATGGTATTCAATAATAGGTTGGACTCTATGATCTCAGAGGTTTTTTCCAACCTAGCTGATTCAGTGAAAGTAGTGTCATTTAAGCTTTAAGAACTACTGATTTAATGTCCTTCATAATAATTAAAAAGAAATCACATTTTCTTTGCTACTGTTTAGTGGGGTTTAGTTCGCTTTGTGGCTTGTTTATTGTTTGTTTGTTTTCATGTTTGTTTTCCCCCTGACTTCCCAGCAAAACCACATTTTTTTATATGTTAAAATTACTCTGAATGTGGCTTCTGTGTAGATCCTAATGCTTGTTGGAAGGCTGCAGCAGTTCTTCAAAATCAGAAGAATATTTTTCATTTTGTTTCTGCTTCAAAAGCAGTACGTCATACCTGGTTCACAATGTATACAGATTGTAGCTTTTCAGGTAGCAAGCAAGGCATTTCCAGGAGACGGTGTCTTTTTTTTGAGGACACATGAAAAAAGTACACACTTTTTATAGTCTTTCCCACTAGATACATAAAAGTTCAGGGTACTAAGTGCATAAGGTGATAGCATGCTTTGAGCTGTAGTACTTTTTTTTTTTTTTTTACTAAGTAGTCCAATTGGGACAGTGCTTACTGTTTACCTTTTAACTTAATTTGGAGCTGAAAGTTAACCTATTTTTAGCACTTGTATTGAACAAAGACTTGGATACTGATGCAAAATCATTTGAGTTTCAATTATATGGTATATGGTTTAGGTTTTGTGTTACCTTTCTTCAGAAAGTGAATATGGTCATGCACTGAAGTGCACCATAATCCAGTTAGTTACTATTTGTTTGCATGCAGTGGGGTCACTTTCGGTTTTTTAACTACTTACACTAGTAACCCAATTTGTTTAGAGAATGACTGTGGTTTTTTCAAGTGTTTAAAAAAAATCTTGTTCCTCTTTTCTTTTTTCACATTTTTTTTGTTAATTGTTCAATTTTGTTTGGAAATTCAAGAAGCACAGCATTTTATAAGCTGTGTACAGCCCATGAAAGACACTTAATTGAAATTTTTCTGCTTTTAAGAAGGAACATTTTGCATAAGGTGCGAATGATCTTGAATTAATCTTTGTTGCAATTTGGTTTGTAATGTTTAGATTTGACATTAAAAAGAATTTCTTGTCAGTCATTGGAACTGGCTACCCAGGGAAGTGGGAGACTTGCCATCCCTGGAGGTATGTAAAAGCCATGTAGATATGGCACTTAGGGAGTAGTGGTGGATTTGGCAATGTTAGGTTACTGGTTGGGTGCGTTGAACATAGATGTCTTTTCCAGTTTAAATGCTTCTCTGTTTCTAAAAGTCTAGTAGACATACCTGCACTCTCATTATATTTGCCTGTTGAATAGGCCTAGCTACCAATACGTTGGGTTTGGCTTGCTAGTCCCTAATTTTATGTTAGGTGGTTTCAATAGGTTTCATCCTAGTCTGGGCTACGGTTTATGTCCATATGCTTTCTTGGTCTTTATCTTTTGCTGGTTTTTATTTTTCTCCCCTAACATTTTATGTAATTAACGCATAGGTTTATTTTGTAAAATAAMCAACACCAACTAACATTGGTGCTTCCAGTAATCAAATCATATTGGAATAAGAATACACTGGTGAAAAATAACAATTAATGTGTATTAGAAAATACAAGTGTGGGAAAGCTTTTAGCTGATATCTAGTTTTCACAGACTTTCTAAAATCTAATTGTGAAGAATGTCTTCCTCTCATTTGATTTTTTTTATAGAAAATTCTATATATTGCAGGTTAAATGAGTGTGTGTTGGAAGACTATTTTACTATGTAATTTGAAATAAAGAGCTGCATATGGTAAAASTTAATGTTGAAGCATGTATATGAGTCTTAGTATGCATAAAAATTGTATCAGTAACAATTATAGATATAGCAAGAGGCTGTTATTGTTTGAATAGTATAATTTCTGCTGCTGTATGTTGCATTGCATACTGTTTTAATATTGATTGTGGGTGTTCGTTATTCTTCAAAATTCTGTATGGCTAAAATTTTGTTYATCCAAGAGAACTGTTTGCTGTGGTTTTGTCATTCAGGTAACAGTGAGTAACTTGCAGGGAATTCTCACTAAGAGTTTTCTTTGTAATTGTCTTTGAATATGCTCAGTATAGTGGTTTGTTTTTTTTTTTTTTTTTTTCTCCCCTGTTTCTAAGGCTGATAAAGAGTTTGTGTGGTCTCTTTGGAAACATCTCCAAGTGTCAAATCCAGATGTTACTCAAGCTGTCAGCTTGGTTGTGGAAAGGTGAGTTTCAAGATTTAACATGATACTAAAACCAAAAGCAATCAACCTCCCCTTCTGATACCATATTCTTTTTCTTTCTAGTTGAGAACTGTGTAGAATTCTAAAAATGTGTTGAAAAAGTTTAATTTTGAAATTTTGTCAAGAGTGCCTAGGATGCATTGCAAGTTTTCTTTTATCTGGCGAAAGCTGAAGCGTACTTTAAAGTCTGTTCTCACTGAGATTGCTATGCTGCAGTTGAATACAATTTTTAAATTATAAATATGTTTTATAATTATATATTTATTATAATAAACAATTATTTTGTTTTCCTGTAGACTGACCAGGAGGAGGTAAATGACTTTCTCCAGCRTCATAAATTGTTGGATAACTCTTACATGTACAAATTATGTTTATCTGAATTCTTARGGAGGTAAAAAAAAAACCCCTAAGACTTGGTAAGTGGAGAGATAACTATCATAGGATCATAGAATAAGCTGAGTTGGAAGGGGTCATTGAGGATGATTGAGTCTTACTCCTTGCCCTGCATGGGACAGTCCAAGAATCTTACCATGTGCCTGACAGCATTGTCCAAATGCYTCTTGAGCTCTGTCAGACTGGTGCTGTGACCACTTCCCTGGGGATCCTGCTCCAGTGCCCAACACCTCTCTCRGAGGAGAACTTTTACCTAACTGTCAAAGCTTCCTTCTCCATTAACACAGACAAGTGGGATTCACTTCTGCAGCTTTTTTCTCTGAGGATAGTAATGACGATTTCTTCATGATACTTAACAATTCGATTCCCCTAAATGTTAGTTAATCATCACAGCATGCTGTTGGTTGTTTTGGAATGCTAATATTTATTAATTCAGTATTTTTGTAGGTCAAAGATAAGGAGAATGTGAAGGAATTAATTGTCAGAATTGAAACAATTATATTAGGGTGCCATGAGTTCCCTCTTTTAAAATGAAAAAGTGTGTTTTTTTAAAAAGAAAAGAAAGGAATTTTAACTTTTTAAAATGACATGCCAGTTTTACTTGGGAAGTTTGTTACAGATTCATGAGAGGTCTTGGTCTCTTTGGGTTTCCATTCAGTGCTTTGATCTTAGAAGGCATGTTTTGTTGTTCACATCTTTACTTTCTGGATTTCATCTGTACATGTTCTTTCACTTGTGAAAATATAGCATTCATTTCTTTAGCTGGGAGTCCATTTCACAAAATCATGGAATTGTTAGGGCTAGAWGGGGCCCCTGGAGATCATCTAGTGCAGCCCTTCTGCCAAGGTAGGGTCACATAGAGGAGGTTACACAGGAATGTGTCCAGGTGGGTTTTGAGTGTCTCGAGAGASGGAGACTCCACAACCTCCCCAGGCAGCCTGTTCAGTGCTCTGCCACCCTCAGTGTAAAGAAGTTCTTTCACATGTTGAGGTGGGACTTCTTGTGTTTTTAGTTCATGGTCACTGCTCCTCATCCTGTCATTGGACAGCACTGGTAAAAGCCTGGCACCATCCTCCTGACACCTGCCTTCGAGATATTTCTATGTATTGATGAAGTCAATACCTCTCAGTCACTTTTTGCTGTAGCATTGTCCCATGTTCTTCCTAGCATAAAACAATGAAAATTTTTGTCCAAAACCACAGTGCAGTCATGTAACTAGAACTAACATTATAAAGAATTCATACACAGAGGAAGAAATTGATGATGCAAGGACATACAGGTTATTTTTAGGCAGCTGTTATTGGGGAGTTCGCATCTGGTCACCAATGATGATATCAAGTAACTACTTGATACTGGCTTTATACGGGGACACAACTGCAGAGAGTAGTAGCTTGGCTATTAAGACAATACATTGTTTTTACTAATGCTTGCTTGTTTGATTTGGGAAATAGTTTTAATATATGATGAAGACTGAGGCACAGATTTATAGCATCCTTCATTTGTGTTGAAATGCAAAATTGTAATGATTTGTTTAATAATAAAATCTGGCCATGTTTTCATGGGGACAGTAGTAATAGAATTCAGCTCCCTTCATAAAACTAAAAAAAGAAAGAACTGCTTAAAGTATATGAAATTTGATATATGTAAACACACATGTATTAAGCACAATTATATTAAAATCATTAAAAAACTTCAGTGTCCTAACAACATTTTGTAGACAGCTGAACAATATGGATAATTGTAGTTCTTTTGCATGAAGCTTAAGAAGACAGAATCAGGTGTTCAGGCTTATTAACATTCTTTATTCATGTTGCATTTAAAGATAATCAYGATATTAGGATGAATTGAAGCATAGAGATTTTAGATAGTATGCATTTAAATAATGGTCAATAAATAAATTATTTGTAGCTCTTGAATTGTGTGCCTGTATAAGATATAGTCTCTCTTCTTTGTTTATTATTCTTCATGTCTGAATATTTTTATGCTTCATAGTTGTCCCTTGCTTTAAATGATTTTATGCTTTATTTAGAACAGAAATTGGTAATTTTGTGTGTTATCCTCATTGATTCAATGAATATGGGGCTCTCAGATACCATCTTGATACATAGAAGCATGATAATAAACTGACATTTTTTTGTGTTTTACTCTGTATAGGAGCCAATGATTCATGCTTTTATGCAAAACTCTGCCAACGTACTTCTGTTAACATGCTTGTCTAGTTATTTTATGTCCTTTACTCTTTTAGAATTACACTAATGCTTTAGAACACCTTTGTGAACTCAAGGCTATACATGTATATCACAGCTTTCCCATACTTCTCTGAATTGTGGAATTAAGAAAGAAGAAATTGCTTCCACAGCATTTTTTAGGGGTTATCATTACTCCTGAGAATCCTGAGACAGGTTTGGATAAAACCCATTCAGTATATAGGAGTTTTATTAAACTCAACTTTGAACTTTAGGGTTGCCTTGATTTGACAGATGGAGCAGTAGTATGTATTTTTCACTTTAATTGATGTAGCTTCATCTCTTTTGCCTGAGGATGGTCTAATTGCCGCTTTGGAAATAGTTTCTAGCCCAGCTTTACCTGTGAAGCTTCTGCACACCAAATTACAGTCCCATATCSTAATTTTTCTTGTTATTATTTTCCATAATGATTTCCTAAGTAGCTTCAGTTTCATAATTGTACCTCTTCACACTCTCATTCTTTCAGAAAAGTTTATGTCTTATTCTCTGCTTTATAATCTTTTAATGCTAGTATCAGCTAAATCTTAATTCCTGTACACTGATTAGCTTTCCAGGGAATCTGCTATCTAGGACTGCTGCTGTCCAGAAAATTACAGGACAAGAGATTTTCTGGCTTTGCTAACCTAGGAAAAAGACATGAGTTTAAAGAGTTTAAGAGGTGGGATGACCAAATAACAGTTGTAAGCAAAATGATTCCTGAAGCATGTCTTGGGAGGATCTTTTCGACTTGCAGCCCATTTTTCTATATTTTACACAGTTGTATCAGATGAGCTGGAAATTGAAAATTTACACTAAAATCTGATGCAGTTTTAGTCTTAGTGACTTCTTTCTCTTCTCATCTATATTAGGAACAACAGAGACCCAGTCATATCCAAGTTCTTAATATTTTCTATCTTCCTTGGTCTTATTGTGAGATTTTGAGATAGACACAAACAGAATGGAATGGATTTAAACTCTTTTTTTTTTCTTCTTGTGACATGGATACCACCAGTGTTTTGCATAGCTTAATTTTTTAGTGTGTTCTTTCCACTAAAAATTCTATAATGGAGAAACTTTCAGTCCTCACCAATTCTTTATTAGAAACTACCTGAGGTTCTAAGTCAGGTATGTAGTGGAAGCAGACAGAATCTGAGAAAACATAGGCATGTGTATCTTGGATCGTRTATGTATGAAGATTCAAATAATATTTTCCAGTGGATTTCAGTCATTAAATTGATGAAACAGTCAGGCTTTCTTCACAAGATTATAGTGGCAAGAATAAAAAGATGCAGGACAAAATGTTCGCTTAGAACCTTACTATATGCGCCACATGTTTGTGATAAAGGAAATACATATTAGGAGGAATTGAATGGGCAGTACTAGCTTCTCAGTAAGATAATTTATATTTATAGCATTAGACAATTCCTGATAGTATCTTGTTCCAAACAAACCAGGAAAATGTAAAAGACATAATTTGGGGGATGTAGGGAGAAATTACTGGTACCTTGCCGTTATTTGTCTGTTATTTTCAAATGCTTTCATGGTCCCAAAATAGAGGTTTTTTCTGCCCTAAAATTGTAAAAATGTAGCTTGTATATTTTTATAGCTATGTTGCTGATTCCTGTAATATACCAATGATACTATACTTTTCAGCAGTCTTTGCAGTTCTTGCTGGATAACTGTAACTATATTCCCAATTTAATATTCAGATATAAACAAAAAATTATCTTTACTGTGCAAATGAGAAATGCCTTTGGGATATGTAAAAGCCTCCAGGTATTTTCAAACAAGTCATTGTAAAACTACTACTCATGTTAGTGTAGTTTCCAGCTATTTTAAATACTATTGATCTCAGTATTATGTAAAGAGTATGCTATTTCTAGTTCACTGCCTTTTAAAAGATTTTTTTTGTGTGATTTAAAAAAAAGGGGCTAGAAAATAGCTCTTACTAGGTAAATTCATGTGTAAACTGAAATGGGGTTCAGATGAGAGTATCAAAGGTTTTGAAATAGTTTTGCAAACTTCAGAGCTCTGCTTTGAGACTCTTYCTTCTATAGTACATGAAATCTTGTCTGTTGACAAGTCAACAGACTAATTTTCCTCTTGGGCTTCTAGCTGACTCTTTTCCTTTCTTTTGGAATGAGGATGTAGAAGGATCCATTAATTATCAAACTGTGGCGGTGATACAAAACTTGGTAGATATATGTAGGGATTATATTATGCTAGATGATACCCTTACAGACACTTAGCTATGGCAAGTTTACACAGGTTTTTTTCACGTTTAAATTTCAAGTGTGCTGTGTACTGCCATTCTTAACAGAGGGAAAGAATGAATTTATATTTTTAATTTCAGGCCTCTTTAAG